CAGTCGTTGAGCGTCTGCCTTTGGCTCAGGTCATGATCCCAGGGTCCTGGGATCGAGCCCCGCATCGGGCTCCCTGCTCGGTGGGAGGCCTGCTTCTCCCTCTCCCACTCCCCCTGCTTGTGTTCCCTCTCTCGCTATGTCTGTCTCTGTCAAATAAATCAATAAAATCTTAAAAAAAAAAAAAGTTTTTATTTGTTTTGGAACTTTGATCTCAGATAGATCATAAATCTGATGTTTCTGTCCATGTTTACTTTAAAATAATTTAGTGCCATCTAGAACCTATTTTAGTAGAGTTGCTTTAATATTTAGTTTTATCACCCAATTCATCTTTTTGCAGGACTCTCTCACTTCAGATATGTCAAATGCCAATGAACATGAATAGGTTTGTAACTGGCTTTGAAATTCTTGCTTCATGATTCTCTAGCTCTGTGTGCTTGTTTTTCCTTAAATTGGAATCAGATATAAATTTTATTTTACATAGAAAAGGTCTCTGGGAAAGGCACTATGTAAGTGTCCTGGGGTTGTAAAGATGAGTAAGATGGTACTGCTGCTCTTGAGAAACTTACATTCTAATAGTAAAGATGAGATAAATACACAGAATGCCATTAAGAAAATTTTAAGAGGTTCAAAGTAGCAAAAGAACACTCGTGACAGCATCTGTGGTCATAGCTGGAAAAGCATTCTAAAATATGTACTACACTAGTAAAAAATGGTTAGTATGGATAACTTTTTATTTTGTAGATTACACAGAGTATATGGGGGAGTTTTTCCATTCATTAATCTCATAACAATCTAAAGGAACATTGGTGGAGGTACTGATTAGGATCTCTTAGTTATTCTCACACAGTATTACATAACTATGTTTATACAGTTATCTGAACTTGTGAAATATTTTGTGGGGTTCTTTTTTTCTGTTACAGTTGTAATCTAGGACTTCTCAGCAGTGTGATAGTGTATTTAAGGAGTTTTTTGGTCTGCATGTTTGTCATTTTCTGTCTTTAATCTTTTTCCTTAACATCTTTCTTTTCTATCAAACCATCATAGGTGGCATTAGTCTCTTGATGATCTTGTTTGTTTCCTTTTGCACATACACATTTTGTTTGTATTCAGAGTAATTCGTGTGCGTACATATGAGTGCAGTCACATACCTACTTTTCTCCTAAACCTAGAGTAGTAGAAAATACTGGTTCCAGTAACAGCATGGACAAGGTGTGCCAGCCTCACTTACTCTACTTCACAGAAAATCTCTCTTAAAAGCAGACCTGGCTTCAGGCTTTATTTTTCCAATATGAAAGTGGTTATGTCATATTTATGTTAATGTTTGGCAAAGTTTGATGTAATATAAATACATTTGGATAGTTGTAGAATTGAGATAATTTGGACAAATCTTGATTTTGTTAGAATTAACAAGTTCCAGAAAGGAGTAGGTTTTTGCTGTAGTTATTTGGTGAATTATAGTATTTCTTGATATTTTTCTTTTCTCCAGGATTACAGGGTAGTTCATTAGAAAATACAGGGTCATTTAGGGTCAGAAGACAAACTTGAGTCCCTTATTTCACATTCTGAAGAATGTGAATTCTGGGCTAGACCCTCTAGTTTCCTGAACTGAACCTAAGAATTGGCAGCAATACCTCAAAGAGTTTTAAAGATCAAAATGCAACAGTAGGCATAATGTATCTGAATTTCAAATTATTTAACACTCAGTTTCTTTAATCTATTCTTATAAAATTATATCTCCAAGATGATGTACTCTCCTTATGATGTGGTTTGGAACCCTTTGGTACAGTACTTCATACCTTATTGAGAAATAGAAAATAGAGAATTTATAGGAGAACATATCTAGTTTCATTTCTTGTTTTTTTTGTATTTCTTAAAAAAGTATATGGACATTAGTTATACATGTGTTTCAGAATTCAAGAACTGCAGCTGGAAGTCCACCAGTTACAAGAAAAGTTAGCAATGATGGAAAGTGGACTGAGAGATTATACGGAGCAGGTAGGATTTTTTTTTTTACTTCCATAAAGGGATGCATGATTGCATTGTTGAGATGGGTATGCTGTGATTGTAAATAAAGTTGGGTTATATTTGGTATTACTGATACTGAATTTTTATACAGCTTTTATCTTTTCCACCAATTTGTTAATAGAGATAATAGCTGGAGTGGCTTAGATGGCTTTAGAGCAAACAGTCCAGTCCATTATGCATTGAGGCAAATACTAGTTTTTTTTGGTTTCTTTAGGTGAATCATCTGTCTCCCCAAATATTGTAACCATATTACTTGTTTTCATCTTGGGAGGTATTTTACTGAAGTGTACTATGCTTTACAGTGGTAACATAAATAATTTTTTTACTCTTACTGTAGATTTTGTTATTTGGAACATAAGTCTTCTTGATAGTTACTCTTTTGTGGCACCATATTTGTTGTGTGTTTTCACTACAAGAACTAGTAAAAGAGTTTTCTGAAGAAGCAGGGGAATTAATATATGCAGGGTTAGATCATAACCGTAATAAGCTTTATTCTTTCATACCTTCTGTTGGTGTTTGGCTAAATTCTGATTTGTATAATTACAGGCTTGCTTTCTTAAAATGCTTATTGAAGCTTAAATTGGGTAACACGTTTTTTCATTTTCTGCATGTGACTGCATTTTTTTTGGAGTGAAGTGATCTGCACATACAAATATAAATGTAACTTACGTGTTGGTATAACTGTTACGTTTGTAAAGTACTTTGAAGATATTTGAATAAAAATGGAGTAAAAAGGAATTGTGATCACATCAACCAAAAAACTTATAATATGGAGAGAGATTGAAAATATCAAATATGCATAAGTTGAATATTGTTGGTATTTTTCAATTTATAATCACACTTTCATCACATTTTCCCCAAGTACTTTATGAACATAAGCTGACCAATCTTGGTAATCTCTGTGAGGTAGTTGAGGTGTTTGGAGAAAATAGCCTGATCATTCTCATTGAAACTCTGCTGCCTGTTTGGGTGTTTGGTTTTTGTTTTTTGGGTTTTTTTGCTTAAGTTCTGTTTTTCTCAGTTTGTATTCCAAATGTTGCTGTTCTCTGCAAGCTCTTTCCCCAGCCTATAATAAATACTCTCCTCAAGATACCACCTTGTCTCAACTTTGTTTCTACCTTTAAAATTAGCAATGTTCACACTGAGGCTCTCCAGACTTAATGGGTAGTGTGGCATTCTTCCTATTTAAGGCTTAGTCTTTGTACCTGTGCTCTTGGCTCTATTTCCTCTCTTCTTTTTTTTTTTTTCAAGATTTTATTTATTTATTAGAGAGAGAAAGAGGGCACAAGCAGGAAGTGGCAGAGGGAGAGGGAGAAGCAGGCTCCCCACTGAGCAGAGAGCCAGACCTGGGGCTTGATCCCAGAACACTGGGATCATGACCTGAGCTGAAGGCAGATGCCCAACAACTGAGCCACTCAGGCAGCCCTCTTCTTCTTTTTTTTGCTTTCATTGATATTTTTTCCTTCTTTAACAAACACTTAAATGGCCACTTTACAACTAGTAATGCTTTTAATCTCCCTAACTGTCCTAGAAAGAGGTGCTGTTATGGTCATTACTAACCTCCCCTAAAAAGATCTCCTTTAATTACCTCTCCCTCTTGCTGATGCCTTCTCTTCCCTCATGCAAACTTCTCTAAAGAGTATCTTACTCTTCTGTCTCCACTTCTTCACCTCCTGCTGTCCTATTGCGTTCTGGCTTCTGCCTCCCATTACATAAATTGGTCTAGTTAATGACACCAGTGACATTAATTGCTAGATCCAAAAGGATACTTTAGTCTTTATTTTCTTGACTCCTCTGTAGTATTTGTCATTATTGATAATTTCTCTTTAAAACGCTTTCATTTTTTTTCAGTTTTCCCTTTTTTAAAAATCTATCATCATTTCTTCTTTGCTTATTTCCTCTACCTGTTCCCTGAAATGTTACTGTTTTTCAGGATCTTGTCTTTGACCCCTTCTTTCCCAGTATATTTTCTCAGAAGGTTTCATTTACTCTCTTGGTTTAAGATATTCCCTGTAGTTAATGACTTTTCAGTCTTTCTGGCTCAAATCTCTATAGAGCTCCAGACCCATATATCCAATTTCATATTGGGCGTTTCCACTTGGATGAAAGCTCTTCATACCATATACCTAGTACTAAACTTGTTATCTTCTGCCTCAAATCTGTTTTCCCTCTTATATTCTCTACTTTGGTTGGTAGCATCACCATCTGCCCAAGCCAACATTCTATAGTCTTTCTAGATCTCATTCTCTTCCCTTCACATACCACTTACCAAGTTCTGTCACTTCTAAGTACTTTGTAAACTTACTTTTTCTGCTTTAACCTATCTACTGTTTTATGCCTTATTCATTTCTCATACATTCCTCCAATAGGTCTCCCTTCCTCTGGCTTTATTCTTATTTATCTTTTAATCCAGAGCAATCTTTCTCCTTAGCAAAGTATTCAGAGCTTAACATAATTAATTCCTGCCTGATTCTTCAGACCCACCATAAGTTCCCTTGCACGTTACAATCGTCTTACTGATTGTCTTACTGAGCCATTTCTGCTCCTTCGATCATACCATGTGGCTTTATACTTCTGTGTCACTGCCTGAAACATTCCTCCTTTCTTCTCTTCATAGCATCATTTATAACCTTTTTGGGCATATGTATTTGATAAAGCCTTCACTAATTTCAATAGGCATATGAATATATCATGGAGAGTAAATCCTTTTATTCCCTTAACTTCTTTGGTGCCATATACCTCTTTACTTTATTCTACCATTGAACAACATATTATATAGCAATTATTGGTTTACTTGCTAGTTTTCCCTATAAAGCTGTGTTCCTGAAAGTCAGAGACCATATTTTACTCATCTTCATATACCAAAAATTGTGTTCCATAATTGTTGCATTGAATGCTTGGTTTTAGTTTTCAATTTTTTTGAAAAAACAAAGGCCGCAAAACCCAAAGCTGTAAAGTGTTTGGGTTTTTCCAAATTCATGAATGTGAGTAAGTGTGAATTCATGGTTGATAGTGCTCTCTGTGATTTTATGTGTGTTATTTTCTAAATAATAATTAAATTCACCCCAACTTCCTATCCTTTTCCATATTGAGTTTCAGTAGCAATTCTTTGTGTCCTACATCCATTTGTTCATTCTACATTTATTCCGCCAGGCACTGAAGTAGCTCAGACTCAGTTCTAGTACCCAGTAGTTTCTTTTTTTTTTTTTTTAAGATTTTATTTATTTATTTGAGAGAGAGAATGAGACAGAGAGCATGAGAGAGGCGAGGGTCAGAGGGAGAAGCAGACTCCCCGCTGAGCAGGGAGCCCGATGCAGGACTCGATCCCGGGACTCCAGGATCATGACCTGAGCCGAAGGCAGCCGCTTAACCGACTGAGCCACCCAGGTGCCCCCAGTAGTTTCTTTTTATATAAACATTGCCTAATCTATGGAGGAGGGAGGGGGAAAAAAACCAAAAATTAAAAATAATTGGGAAGAATCTATTCAATAGAAATACTTATGAGGGGCGCTTGGGTGGCTCAGTCGGTTAAGCGGCTGCCTTCAGCTCAGGTCATGATCCTGGGGTCCTGGGATCGAGCCCCACGTCCGGCTCCCTGCTCAGTGGAGAGCCTGCTTCTCCCTCTCCCTCTGCCTGCCACTCTGCCTACTTGTGTTATCTCTCTGTCAAATAAATAAATAAAATCTTTAAAAAAAAAAAAGAAATACTTATGAAAGCTTTGTTGACATTATTTTGAAATTTTCTGTGTTTATTTTTGCTTGTCTATATGTATTTCATAATATGGTACATATATGAATGTTAATCTCTTGTACACACTGTAAAACATAAGAAAAATGAAAGTATATCCAAATAAGTGTTTGTACAGTGTTATTTCAGTTCAAAGCAGATTTTTTTAAGTGATAACATGACTTTATGTCTTCAGATTGAGCTAAGAGAACGAGAGATAGAACGACTATCAGTAGCATTGGACAGTGGCCGTTCCCCTGATATTCTCTCCCTGGAGACTAGAAATAAAACCAATGAAAAACTTATTGCTCATTTAAATATTCAGGTAATGACTTTTATAATTATTTCACTGAGTATATAAAATCATTAAGTGTTTATAACAGTCCATGGATTTGTAAAAGTGACAGAGTTGTTCAGTAGTGTATTATTTACAATAGGAAAATTTTGATAGAGCCAGAGTATCCAGAAATAGGATGCAGCTATTGAAAAATCATGTTTTTAAAGAATATATAATGAAAACAAAGAATATTTAATGAGGCAGAAAAATACATACACCATAATGTTAAATATTTAAAAGAGGAGAATAAACTGTAGACACAAGTGATATTCAGTTTGCTTTTTAAAAATGTGCATATGAACTTGGAGAGAGAAAACATTGGAAGAGAAGACACCAAAGTATACTAACAGTCTATCTTTGTGTGATGAGATATTCTTTTTGATTTTATTTTCAAAACTTTTGTTTTATAAAAATGTAAAAAAAGAAAAGATTTTTAAAAAGAAATATAAAAGCTAAACATGTAATAGATTCCCTTGCCATGCATTTGACCTAAGAGTAAAAGAACACGAGAGTTATATAAAGCATGTTATGTTACCTTTAGAAATTTAGACATGTCGTTGCTGCCTGGGCTGTAACCAAAATAGAGTAAATCACGAATATCAGCAGTAGCTCTAGAGCAGTGCTATCCAATACAAATATGATATGAGCCACATAATGTAATTTAAAATTTTCTAGGGGCACGTGGGTGACTCAGTTGGTTAAGCGTTTGACCAACTCTTGCTCTCAGCTCAGGTCTTGATCCCAGGGTCATGAGTTCAAGATTCTATGGAGCCCACTTAAAAAAAAGAAAAGAAAATCTCAGATCAAAATGTAAAACATGCAACTATAAAATTTTCTAGTAACTAGATTAAGAAAGTAAAAATAAACAGGTGAAATTAATTTTAATAATGTATTTATCTCACTATATCCAAAATATAATTTCAATGTATAATTAATGTTGTAAAATTGATGTTGAGATCTTTTACATTCTTTCTTTTTTGCACCAAGTCTTTGGAATCTTGTGTCTATCTTACATTTATAGCGCATCTCCGTTCAGACGAGCCACAGTATGAACATGTGGATACTAGTGACTGCTGTATTGAACAGCACAGTCTAGAGTAGTAGTATCATGGTAGTGATATTCTTGTAATTTTAGAACTCTCTGTTGGGAAAAAGTTCACACAAATGTTTTGCTTTTCCTTTCCTTCCACGTTTAAAAATTGGAAGCCAATGGCTAATATTTTTATTACACCCCACATTGTCAGTTTTGTGAATCAAAGCAGTGTAAGATTACAAATGTAAAATAGCTCTGGTTTAAATGTTCAGTATTTTAAAAAATACGGTATTTTGAAATATTTTTGGAAGTCCAGTATTTAGGATAATTTTCCAATTCATATACCTGTGAATTACAAATTCAATTTAGGTTGACTTTCTTCAGCGAGCTAATAAAGACCTGGAGAAGCATATACAGGAGCTTATGGAAACCAAGGAAACAGTGACTACTGAAGTTGTTAATCTAAGTAACAAAAATGAAAAACTCTGCCAGGAATTAACTGAAATAGATCAGTTAGCACAGCAGTTAGAGAGACATAAAGAAGAAGTGCTTGAGACTGCCGATAAAGAACTTGAGGAAGCAAAGGTATGTCTAGGTTGTGGGAGCATTTGTTAATCCTCCTGGAACATCGTGAGCTTAAGCCCCTTTGATATCTGATTTGGTCTTTTGGTTTGTTTCATAATTCCAGTTTTCCCAAAGTGTCGTTCACACTCTCTAAAATTGGTTATGTTTCTGAAGCACACCTTTTCTTAGGATAGCTCTCCAGATTTTGTCCTATTTTCCCTCAAGATTTTCATCTCTGCATTGTGAGTGAGCTTTGGAAGTTTGTCCTTTGTGTCATTCTGTGCTCATGTTCCCTTTAAAAGTATTTTCTGAAATAGTGTATGTCCTTACACATTTTTAAGTTGGTAGCTAACATTTTTTCATCTTTAAGTTTAAATAGGTATGAAAGGGGGCACCTGGCTGGTGTGGTGGGAGGAGCATGCAACTCTTGATCTCGGGATTGTGAGTTTGAGCCCCAAATTGGGTGTAGAGATTACTTAAAAATAAAATCTTTTAAAAATAATAATGAGTAAATAAATAGATATGAAAGATGTAATTTCCAATGTATTGTAAGTATTGATCTCTTAAACTGTCACATCGTTCTTTTAAATATCGCTAAATGACCCTTTCTTCTTGAAATCTTCACAAAGTTTTATCCTATTTTAATATATTTATGCTTGGATATCTTTTCATGATCACCCTATCAAACATCTCTGCAATAAAAAAAATACATAAATTGAAAGCATTTATTTATTTAGAAATTTTTTTACTTTAAAAAATGTCCTTTGACTACAAGGTTCAAAGTGTTAACATTTTCCTTTGAATAGTGTTATCATTATAATTATTAGTAATTAGTGGATCAAAGTGACAAATACAGCACAAATGTTGATACTGAATTAAAAAGTAAAATTTTATTGGAAATACATCTCTTAATAAGATACATATCTTATTAATACATTTCTTAATACATATCTTTCATAAACTTTGATTATCTTTTTGTTTGGTGCTTCAGAAATTTTTCATATTTTGAGTGACATTAGATGCATGACTTTGCTTTAAAAAGTGGGAGGAAAACAGTTTTGAAAGGGAAGGTGAGAGAGGAAAAATCATGAGATACTTAGACCACACACAGGTTTTCAGGTAGATAATTCTTAAAAAGGACTGTACATGCAAATTAAGAATCCATATATGGATACATTAAAACTGCATGTATACAGTAGTTTTACATAATACTTGGGAAGTATTTATGTTATCCCAGGAATGGATATAAGCTAGCCTGAGGATCAGTACTCTACATCATTGAATCAATTTTGTACCATGTCATTTCCACTAATTAGTGGAATAAAAGTAGCATACCTCAACACAGTAAAGGCCATATATGAAAAGCCCACAGTATATCATACCCAGTGGTGAAAGATTGAAGCTTTTCCTCTAGAATCAGCAGCAATGCAAGTATGCCCATTCTTACCAGTTCTGTTCAGTGTAGTACTGGAAGTCCTAGCCAAAGCAGTTAGGCAAGAAAAAGAAATAAAAGGCACCCAAATTGGAAAGAAAGAACTGAAATTGTTTCTAGATGACATGATCTTGTATGTAGAAGATCCTAAAGATTTCACAAAAAAATAGAACTAATACATTCAGCAGAGTTGCAGGATACAAAAATCAATGCACAATAATCAGGTGTGTTTCAATATGCAAAAAATTAAAATCCAAAAGGAAATTAAGAAAATAATCCCATTTGCAGTAGCATCAAGAAGAATAAAATAACTTAGGAATAAACTTAACCAAGGAAGTGAAAGACTGTATGCTGAAAACTATAAAACATTCTTGAAAAAATTTGAATAAGACAGAAATAAATGGAAAGACATCCTATGTTCATGGATTGGAGGACTTAATATTGTTCAAATGTCCATGGTACCCAAAGCAATCTACAGATTCAGTGCAATCCCTATCCAAATCCCAATGGCATTTTTTATAGAAATGGAAAAAAATTATAAAATCTCAAGGGGCCCCAGGATAGCCAAAAGAGTCTTGAAAATGAAGAATATAGGGGTGCCTGCCTAGCTCATTTGGAAGTGCATGTGACTCTCGATCTCAGGGTCATGAGTTCCAGCCCCACATTGGGTATAGAGACTACTAAAAAAAATAAACTTAAGAAAAATGAAGAACATAATTAGTGCAGTTTTAATTTTTGGTGGCTCTAGTTTCATTGCAACATTCCTATATCTCATTCCTCTCTTTTTCCACTTCTTTTACATCTTCTCTGCTCATGCACACAACATACTGAATATAGCTTCTCAGGTCCCATTGGCAGTGCTCAAGAATGACAGTTTGGGGGCGCCTGGGTGGCTCAGTTGGTCAAGCGACTGCCTTCGGCTCAGGTCATGATCCTGGAGTCCCGGGATTGAGTCCCGCATCGGGCTCCCTGCTCGGCGGGGAGTCTGCTTCTCTCTCTGACCCTCCCCCTCTCATGCTCTCTCTCTCTATCTCATTCTCTCTCTATCTCATTCTCTCTCTCAAATAAATAAATAAAATCTTTAAAAAAAAAAAAGACAGTTTGGCTCGCAAAAGATTCCTGTTGGGTCAAAATATTTTAATATTGGCATTCAGTGCTCTTATTTGCTGTATAGAGGTTCCACATTGGTAGTAGCAGGTGGAGGGAAATCAAATAAGATGGGAAAATTAGGAAATGACAGTGCCATAAGAAGAGCCCAAAAATCAAGGTTCAAGGAAGGTCCTGCAAGTATATAGGCAAAATAGGTTTTTAAGTGGGCCCTCTTGTTTCAGATGTTACAAATAGCTCCCTCTAAGCATTCAGGATACCAAGAAATTAAAGAGAAGCCTGGACTTTGTCTCCTCTTCACTGAAATTGAGCCTTAAAACTGCTAAAACCTCCCATCTCACTGCTGAGAAGGAAGACTACTCAAAAAAATGACTTGGTCTTATTTGCATTGTGACTTAGTGATAAATATTCTTGACTTTTAGGTCTGTACCTAATAAGTTTTTTATTCCTAGAAAGAGATTAAAAGAAAGCTTTCTGAAATGCGGGATCTTGAAGAAACAATGGCAAAACTTCAACTGGTAAGTAGATGTCATGTTAAATTGCCAGAACTTTTGGTAAGAAAATTTGCATGCTGTATTTTACATATATTTTTTAATTGAGATATAATTTACACATTATAATATTCACTCTTAAGCATTTATTTCATTGGTATTGGTGTAGTTATGAAGTACTGCAACCATTCTGACCATCAAGTAAAGGAACATTTTCATCACTCCAAAAAGAAACGTCATACCCATTTAGCAGTCCCTCCCCATTTTCCTCTGCTCAGCCTCTGACAACCACTAATCTTTCTATTTCTATAGACTTGCATATTCTGGACAGTTTATACCAATGGAATCATACAATATGTGGCCTTTTGTGTCTGGCTTCTTTGATTTAGCACAGTGTTTTCTAGTTTCATGCTTGTTGTAGCATGTATCCAAGTACTTCCTTTTTATGGCTGGGTAATATTCCACTGTATGGATGTATTTAATTTCATTTCTGTTTTTATAATTCTTTAATTTTATATACAGTAGATGGCAAGTTAAATTTGAATTTGGAAAACCTGTTAGGAATTTTATATTCTTTTAACTACTTCATGACTTGTAAGTTTACTAATATTAAAATTATAAATTGATAATTACTTGTTAAAATTGTTGACTTTTATTAAAAGCACTCAATCTGGGGTACCTGGCTGGCTCAGTTGAGGCATGCAACTCTTTTTTTTTTTTTTTAAGATTTTTTATTTATTTATTTTAGAGAAAGAGCACGTGTGTATGTGAGTGGGGGGAAGGGTAGAGTCTGGGAGAGGATAACAAACAGATAGGAGCCCATTGCAGGGCTCAATCTCACAACCCTAAGATCATGACCTAAACAAAAATCAGAGTTGGACACTTAACTGAGCCACCCAGGCGCCTCTAGAGCGCACATGACTCTTGATCTCAGGATTGTGAGTTTGAGCCCCACGTCAGGTATAGAGATTACTTAAAAATAAAATCTTAAAAAAAAAAAAAAATTCCGTCCTCTTTTATAAAAATAGCTTTGTTTGGTAGTGAAAACCATCTTTCTAGATAATACTTGTTCTGGTAGTCTTCTTCAAATAAGAAAAATAGTAATCGTCCCAGCATAAGCCTAGATGTAGCATATAGTTCTATAGTCATGCCTTGCTTCCAGTTAGAAACTCCTGGGTGGTCACCTAAAAGATGATTGGGGATTTTTTTTTAATAGCTTATTAAATTGGATGAGTTTCTTTTAAGATTGGAAACTAAGACTAATACTAATTTTCAAGTTTTCTTATTATTTATAGTCTTATACAGTATAGCAGCAATGTTCTGGTGGCATAAGGCAAATTAAAAAATGAAGCCATTGTGATATGCTGCCACACTGTAGGTGCTTGAATACTTGCTGACTTTTATATGCTCACTGTGAATCACAGTGGCTTCCTTTTTATTCACTTGCAGCTACTCAATTCAGTATTAAATAACTGAATTAACTAAACCTGATAAATGTCCACTCTTTTTTTTTTTTTGATGTTGTCTACTCTTGAGTCTCATAGATATTGTGAAAATCTTCCATGAGGTCAGTAAACAGAAAGTAGATGTTTTGATGATGTTTTTACTGACAATGTAAACTCTGTGAGGGCAGGAATTTTTGTTCGCTGCATTGTATGTATCCTATCAACAGTTGAGTGTGATTCGTAATGCTTGTCTCGGACTCTGACCAAGTCTCAGTAGTATTGGATGACAGTCAGATGCTATAGTTACTTTCTGACCTTTCTTATTTTTTTCATTAGTATGATATTATGTATTTTTAGGATAAATATTAATGATATTAATAGCATTTATTAAGCACTTGCCATGTTCTAGACACTGTGCAGAGTGCTTCACATCCTTAGTTTCATCCTCACCAGTGAGTCCTCGGTGTCCAGATACTGCTCTTATCCCCATTGTGCAGATGAGCCTGAGACAATAACCAGCATAGTTACTGATACCTATGATAGTCTGAGAGCACTATGGCTTCCTTCCGCCTTCTTTTAAAAATAAAAAGGCTTTAAAGCTTTTTATTGCACAAGTACATATTCATTTTAAAAAGTAGACAGTATGTTAAACAAATTAAGAGAAAATAAAATCTAATAATTCTACTCAGAAAGGAGCCCTATTCATATTTGGGTTTTATGGTCCTTTTAGCCACAGTTGAGAATGAACTTTAGTTGAACCCATATATTTTGACTAACTAAAAGTGTGTCTGTGACTTACTCTTAATTAAATGTACTTACCAAAATATCTACTTTAAGTTCTATAATATTTTATCAAGTTGTTAGAAATCTTAATTATAGTATTAAAATTTGCAGGAATTAAACTTATGCCATAAAGAAAAGGAGAGACTGAGTGATGAACTACTTATAAAGTCAGACCTGGAAACTGTTGTTCATCAGCTTGAACAAGAAAAGCAAAGACTTAACAAAAAAATGGAAAGTTTTGCAGTTACAGGTAAAATATAAAATGTTGATAACTTAAAAAGTGTTATTTCCTCTTGACATATTATTTTTCTTAGTAGATTATCTTTCATTCATTCATTCACTCAATAAATATTTGTAGAGTGCTTGTTAATATATCAGAAACCATACTGGATGCTGTAGATAGAGTGGAAAATCTTCAATGACCTTACAGGATTCTTTTATATTTTGACTAGTTGGTACAGGGAACCCTGCTTGAGTATTTTCCAATAGAAGTATATGCTTTTTTGAAGCAGATAATAGAATTAATTAAGACTAAGAGGAAAACTTCTGAAATGGTGAAAAATTGAAATGCAGAATCTTTATAAGGAGATGCACTTATATCACCTGAAAGAACATATTCTCTTTCTCTCTTTCTCCCAGTAGGGCAACTTTCTGCCAGGTATCAGCCCTAAATAAGTTAGTTTAAGAAACATGTAAGAATTCATCCACTCATCCATTCTATTTGACAAATGTTTATGAGCCTTTCGTGTGCCAGGCTCTGTTTTGGGTACTGGGGTATATGATACGCAAGGTCCCTGCTCTTGTGGAGCCTTTGTTCCAGTTGGACATATTAGTAGCACATAAATGAAAAAGCCAATTTTAGATGATAAGAGGTATGAAAATGGGGGAAGATATGCTAGAGATTGACTAACCCAAGGTCTCAGAGACAAGACACCAGCCAAATGAAGATTTGGGGCAGTTTTTTCCAGACAAAGGGAACGGCAAGAGCAGAAGCCCGGTGCTGTCAAGAGCAGAGCCCCCCCGTAGGGTGTAGAGATTACTTAAGAGCAGAAGCCCCATGCGTCTTCAGAAGTAAAAGAAAGCCAGTGTGCTGTGTTAAAAAGAGGCTATATCCTAGGCTTTTCAGCATCCATATGGATAATCTGTTTGACCCCTTCTCCATTCACTGCCTTTATGACTTGAGCACATTACTTAACCTCTCTATGCTTTAGTTTCCCTGTCTATGGGGTTAATGATGGCACCTACCCAAAAGATTATTCTGAGGATTAAATGGGTTAATACATTAAAGTGCTTAGACCTATGTATAAAAGTTTGTAATTTACTTCCTTTCATACCTAGCTGTGACTTATCATTTCAGTGTGATCTTTCATATCTGAAACTCCCTGCTTCTCTGTGTCGCAAATGCACCAGCCTACCAAAAATCCAACCACAGGTCAACCAAAATATTTACCTTCTACACATTTGCACATGAGCAACTAAGTACTGCTTGTGTGTGCACCAAACACATCAGTAGCACTGTAAATTAGATGGTCCAGCACTCAGTGATGTATGGAAATTTTACTCTATATTTCTTACCACTTGATCTCCTACTCTCTGCAGGGAACATTTCAAATGTTTTCCATTCTCAATAAGCCTGTGACTCTCATTCCACCTCCCATTCTGAGTGGGCGATCTTCAGGTTCCCTAAGAGAATTGAAGCCATCAGTGAGGCTTTCTGTCATTTTCCTGTCCCAAGATCTTAAACTGTCCATTTTTATCTTCCTTCCTGTTACTATGGAAGTGTGTCCCTCTTAGGAAAGGCCACTGCCTCCGAATGTTCTCTGGGTCTTGTCCTTTCTAATTTTAAAACCTCGCATATTAATTATCTCTTTTCTATAACTTAAGTCTGTACTGTTTTTGTCCATTGGCATTTAAACATACTTACCCTGATATGTCTCTTGAGGCAAGGAAAACAAAAGCAAAAATAAACCACTGGGACTACATCAAAATGAAAAGCTGCACAGCAAAGAAAACAATCAACAAAACTAAAAAGCAGCCTACAGAATGGGAGAAGATATTTATAAATGACATATCTGACAAAGGATTGGTATCTAAAATATATAAAGAACATATAAAACTCAACACCTGAAAAAGAAATAATCCATTTAACAGGGTAGAAGACATGAATAGACATCTTTCCAAAGAAGACATACAGATGGCCAATAGATGCATGAAAAGCTGCTCATCATCACTTGCCATCAGGAAAATGCAAGTCAAAACTACAGTGAGATATCACCTCACACCTGTCAGAATGGCTAAAATCAACAACAAAAGAAACAACAGGTGTTGGCGAGGATGTGAAGAAAGGGGAACCCTCTTGTACTGTTGATGGGAATGCAAACTGATGCAGCCACTGTGGAAAACAGTATGGAGCTTCCTCAAAAAGTTAAAAATAGAACTCTCCTATAATCCAGCAATCGCACTACTAGGTATTTACCCAGAGAACACAAAAATACTAATTCAAAGGGATACATGCACCCTGATGTTTATAGCAGCATTATCTACAATAGCCAAATTATGGAAACAGCACAAGTGCCCCATCGACTGAAGAGTGGATGAGGAAAATGTGTATCTGTATACCATGGAATATTGGCCATAAAAAAGAATGAAATCTTGCCATTTGCAATGACATAGATGGAGCTAGAGAATATTATGCTAAGTGAAATAAGTCAGAGAAAGATGAATATCATATGATTTCACTCATGTGGGATTTTTTTTTAAAGATTTTATTTATTTGAGAGAAAGCACAAGCAGGAGTGAGGGGTAGAAGGAAGAGGGGGAGGCAGAATCCCCGCTGAGCAGGGAGACCAATGCAGGACCCGATCCCAGGACGTTGGGATCATGACCTGAGCCAAAGGCAGACGCCCAACCGACTGAGCCCCCCAGGCGCCCCGCTTATGTGTGGAATTTAAGAAGACGAATGAGCAAGGGGAAAAAGAGAAAGAGAGGCAAAGAAACAGACTCTTGGGGCACCTCTCTGGCTCAGTCACAAGAGCATGTGACTCTTGATCTCAGAGTTGTGAGTTTGAGCCCCCCCCCGTTGGGTGTAGAGATTACTTAAAAAAATCTTTAAAGAAAAGAAAAAAGAAACAGACTCAACTCAAGAGAACAAACTGCTGGTTACCAGAGGGGAGGTAGGTGGAGGGATGGGTGAAATAGGTGATGGGGATTAAGGAGTACACTTGTCTTGATGAGCATGGGGTGATGTATGGAAGTGTTGAATCACTGTATTGTACACCTGAAACTAATATTACACTGTATGCTAACTAACTGAAATTTAAACAACAAACCCATGCTTACCCTTTTCCCATTCTATAACAAAAACTTTGACCCATTCCCCTCCAGCCACCCTTTTTCTTTTTCACAGTTTTAACATTTTGAAAGGTCATCCACCTTTGCTGTTTCTGCTTGATCACTACTACCCTTTAGCTCCTCAATCTGCTCCAGTTGGCTTCCGTCCCCACCTGAGCTACTCTCGGAAGGGCTTCTCTCATCCCCATTATGCTAAATGCAGTGGACACTTTTCATTCATTACTTTATTTGACTTCTTAGCATTTAACCCAGTAGCCCATTCCTTCCCACTCTCCTACTTTCTTCTTACCTCTCTGGTCACTCCTTGGGATGAATTTACCAATTCATCCTCCAGATTGCATTGTATGCTATTCTTTTGTAGATTTTATCCCACTACACAGAATAACTGTTTGACCTTAGCTATATTTTTCATACGTGTGGGCATAGAGTAAATGCTCCACAAATACCTGTCAAATGAATGAAAGAAGAGATGAGTGAATCAGAATATGTCTAGAAAATCATTTCATGCCTCAGAGTTAAATTAAATTGAACCATGTGAAATTACCAGTATTAGCGTACTTGTGACTCATGAAAAGGTAACTTTTGTTGTAAAAGTTAATAGTTGTACTTATTTGGAGAAAGATGAGTTGTTTTGATCTCTTTGTGTAATACTGTATTAAATTCAAACTTAATGTTAAAAATCATGCATATTATGATTAATTGCTTTTAGATAAATTTTCTTTTAATGCATTTTCAGGTCACCAGAAAGTACCATGTGGTAGTTTATTCATTCTATAGTACTAAATGATACCAACCTTGTGAGAAGACAAAAGTAGGAGGACTTTGACTTATTAGATTTTATTTAAACTTTTAATGTAATTTGTGCTCTTTTTCTTCATTTTTCTCAATATTTACCTCTTTGATATCAGCCAATGCTAGGTGATATACAAAAGTTAATGATTTTTAGTAGCTTGTATTCTAAAACTTATTGATATAATGTATTTGGGTAATTGTATAATTTATATGCAACACTTTTAATATTTAATTACTTTAATTTACAGAAAGAGAACTTACTCTGGAAGTTGAAAGGATGAGGCTAGAACATGGAATAAAACGTCGAGACAAGTCACCCTCTCGTTTAGATACATTTCTGAAAGGTATAGAAGAAGAACGAGATTTTTATAAGAAAGAACTAGAAAGACTCCAACATATAATACAGCGAAGATCTTGCTCTATAAATTATTCTACACGTGAAAAAATTCCAATATTTAAAACACTAGAAAAGGTAATATCTCTTTTTAAGGATAATTGATAATCAAAAGTGTGTCTTTATGAACAGACTTTTCTGATGTGATTATTATATTAAATATAACTTATAATATTTGTTTTTTAAAAGTTTTTCTTGGGGCTCCTGGGTGGCTCATTCAGTTAAACGTCTGACTCTTGGTCTCAGCTCAGGTCTTGATCTCAGAGTCATGAGTTCACACCCTGCCTTGGGCTCTGTGCTGGATGTGGCGCTTACTTAAAAGCGTGGGGTGGTGCACCTGGGTGGCTCAGTTGGTTAAGCATCATCAGACTCTTGATTTTAAAGGCTCATGTCATAATCACGGGGTCATGAGATTGAACCCCGAGTCGGGCTCCTCGCTGGGCATGGAGCCTGCTTCAGAGTCTTCCTCTCTATCCCTTTGCCCCTCCCCCTTGCTCATGTATGCACTTACTCTCTCTCAAAAAAAAGGTTTTTCTCAATTTTGATTTTTTTTTACACAACCTGTACTGTAGAAACATTGCATTTATGAGGAAAACTACTTAAGAACAAAGCATAACATACTGATTTTTGGAAATTAAGGAAAGATGAATAGTTCATTATGTATGTAGGGTAAGTACAGGGACATCTGGGCTTCCAGAAACTGGAACTAGTAATTCATGCTACTGGACGTTTCCTTTCTTTCTATCCTTTACTCTTGGTATCAGCTGCATTTTCTCTCAAAGCAGAGTGGCTTCATCCACATGGCAGATGACATGGCTTCTTGCTATTCCCAGCCTTGGACCAGTCAGAAGGGCTGGTCACATTGTGCACACCAGACATCTTCCATGTTAACCACTCAACAGGAGCAGGTAGAGTGTGGAAGTGCGTGCAGGGCAGGTCTTCCCATTTGTCTGCTACAACACATTTATAAGTTGGTAGTCTAAAGATGTATATTAGGTAAAGTTAACCATGTTTCTTGAGAGATTAAAATCATGTATCTCTATTTTCGGTCTTAATTATTTTCAGTGTTTTATGAGTATCATTTGACTTCTTCATTCATGTTTTTCTTTTTTTTTTTTAAGCTTCGGAGCTATAGGAGTCCTGGAGGCTTATGATTCTAACATTATCTACACACTAGATAAAATTAGGGGAAGTTGGGACTAAAATTAAAACTCAAAACATTTAATTTCAAATGTTTAAAAATACCAAGTCACTGTGACATATACATGAAGATAATAGGTTAGAAAAAATTCAGACTTGGCTGAGTTTACTAGTTTCATCATTTTTTTTCCTGAAGATCCTGTGTCCATTGTCAGATGGTTTGGGCTTGTTTTCTGATTGGACTGTTTTTTAACTTCATTGGCTAATGGCTGAATTTGATTTACAGGTGTTAGTAAAAACACTACCCTATGTTATCTGTTATAAGCAGAATGAATTGGTGGGAAAATACTGTATAAGTTAATCTTTGTGTTACTGAGTTGTTTTTTAAGCCCCATATATACTTAGGACTCAGAAAAAATGAATCACTGAATTGATCACCTTTATTGCATAGGAGAATCTTCCATAAAATGGTTGATTAGTTTAATCACGTATTTATTCAGTAAAACTGAGTAGACAAATATCTTAAAGCTTTTAACCTAAATATTTGATTTAACTCCTCAGTATGGATTTCCAGTTGAAAAACAAATGAGGTATTTTTGAGGTACTGGTAAAATTAGAAGAGACTTTTATCCCTTTTCAACTTATGTATTTTCTTAAAATGTTCTAATGTTACCTGACACAGATCAAGAATTCCTTTTCTAAAGTTTAGAAAGGTAGGGTGTTCAGAGCATTTTAGAGTTCCAGTAATAAGTTGCAGGAATGGCAGGGAAGAGTAGGTGTGTACGTGAGTGAAATGGGTGAAGTGTGCATCTGCACCTAAACTTGGGTATTTTAAACATATTTAGAAACTACATAGCAAACTATGGTACACATGAGTTTTCAAATCCTGCTTTATGGCAAACTGTTAGGCACAGTTTCCTTAGGATTGCAGTACTCAGAAAAAAATATTGATATTTTTAATATCAGTGATCTTTGTCAAAGATATACCCATTGATACTCTATTGTGCGTGTAGCGTGAGCACTGCCTCCTTCTCCTTATGCTTATACTCACTATGGTTCCAATCATGAGTTTCAAGTATAGTAGAGTTGAAAGGGCTTTGGAATTAGAGACACAAACTGCCTTTATGACCTTGGACAGGTTACCTCACTTCATGAAACCCGTTTCCAAAGGTTACATGAGATAATAAGGGCCCAGCATTACACCTAGTGCCTAGTAAATATTTCACGCCCTTAATATTTGCTGGTTCAAAACACATCAGGTCTAGGTACAAAGTTAAATTCAGTTCAACAGGTACATATTAAGTGCCCGCTCTGAATGAGGCACTGGATGTGAGATAAAGAAGACATAGTTTCTGTGCTTGTAGCCTTTAGTATTATGTATGTATGTGCATGAGCTTGTGTGTGTGTGTGTCAGGAACAATGGAATGGTAAAAGGGAATTATTAACAATTACATATGAACAAAATATATCTGTATATTTATGTCTATATAGGATATATTTAGAAAAGAGCTAGAGTTCCTGCTTAAGAAGGCCAGTCAGTAATGTTGGAGAATTTGTTCATTTTAGGTACCATGCTAGGCACTGAAGGTGTGGTCAGACCAGATACCTACTGTCTCTCTCATTGAGCTTACATTTTAGTGGTAAAGACATATATTAAACGCCTAATCATGTTAATAACTTTATAAGCTCGTTTATAGTAAGTGTTAGTGAAAAAAGGATACAAGGTTTCAGAATGCTCTTAAGAATACAAAAAGGGAGATCTAAATTAGACTGAAGAGTCAGAAACTCCTGAGAGAAAGTGACATTTAAGCTGAGACCTAGACAGTAATGAAAATAGACTGTCAAATCTTTTTTGTTTTTTAATGTCCCAACTTTATTTATAACCAGACCCCAGCTCCCACCCCATCCCAGGTCCTCAGCTTAGCTCTGGGGGAGAAGCTGGATGAGCAGTGACACTTCTGCCAAGCCTTGAGCTCAGGAGCCCCTCTGGGCTTTTGCCCTAGCCTGCTGAATTTTGTCAGCCATGGGCAAACTCTGTGATTCCAGGGCAGTGGGACAGTACAAGGCTCAGCTCTGCTTTGTTCCAGTGCTCAGTGACCACATCTGCACTACTGTCAAATCTTTATTCACTGAGTACTCCTTTTCTAAAATCTATGCAGACCTCCTTTTTGTAAGATATTTTTATGTAGATATAATTAGGTTACAGATTTTCTTTTATAGCTATCTAAGACTTAAGTCCTCAAACCCTAATCTGCTTTTTTTTTTTTTTTTTAAGATTGTATTCATTTATTTGACAGAGAAAGACACAGCAAGAGAGGGAATACAAGCAGGGGGAGTGGGAAAGGGAGAAGCAGGCTTCCTGCGGAGCAGGGAGCCCGATGCGGGGCTTGATCCCAGGATCCTGGGATCATGACCTGAGCTGAAGACAGACACTTAACGACAGAGCCACCCAGGCACCCCCCTAATCTGCTTTTGTCCTATAAAATATCTTACCCTTTAAGGTGTCCAGATAACTGACCTCATCCATTATGCTTTGGTTTTGCTTGTTTACCAAGATGATAACTTACTTCCAAGTGGCAGGTTAAATTTACCTCACAGATACCAAGTCTACATTAGACATGGTTATGTGCACAGTAGATAATGAATAACATATATCAGGATGCTTAACATATATCAGATTATCTCTTCCTGGGGCTTCTGCATTTAGTACTTTAATATTAAGGTACCTTACATCCCCTCGGGGTTGTGAGATCAAGCCCTGCGTCGGGGTTGTGAGATCAAGCCCTGCGTCAAGCTTGTGCTGGGCGTAGAACCTGCTTAAGATTCTCCCTCTCCCCTGATCGCTCGCTTGCTTGCTCGCGCTCTAAAAAAAAAAAGACCTAGATCCCAAGTCTACATTTATCACCTTTATTTTCCACATAGTTGTGAAGATAGTGGATCTGTTGAATCGGACTAAAATAATAAGCATCATCTTGTTTTAGAAATGTTGGAAGTATTTGCTTATTTGGTGAACATCCTTAGTGTATACTGCCTGGTAGAAATGTTTATATTTCTCTCATTGCAAAAATAGACTTCACATAGGTTGGGGCTGGGATGGTTGCGGAGGTTGGTGTGGCTGGGAAATTGATCTTAGATTCAATCAGAAAACACTGAAGAATGTGCTAGGCTATAATAGTTACTTATACTGGGTGAGCAGGCACACACATATCCTCCTAGTCTCTTCCCTGGAGAGGTTTGTAAACTAGTGGTTCCCAACAATTAGCATGCGTGAGAATCACCTGGAGGGCTTGATAGACCGTGGTTACTGGCCCTATGCCCACAATTTCTGATTTAGTATGTCTGGGGTGGGCCCACCAACTTGCATGTGTAACAAGTTCCTACATGCTGCTGATGCTTCTGCTCTGGGGATTACACTTTAGTTACTGCCATTATAACTCCAGGAGAATGACAGTTGAAGTGTTTGACAGGATCTGATCAAGTGGTATTATTGGCAGCGGGGGTGGGGGTGGGGGGGCCTTTTGGGCATTTGAAGGCCGGGAAATTTGCCCCAGTACTGCCTGCACTCTATCATCTGCTGCTCTCACTATGGATAAAAAAATTGTGTTCCTTTTGTCTGTTAACATTATTCAGTCACTGTCATTACCAACATCCTGTGACAACCATATGGTGATAATTATAACAATGATAACTTGTTTTTAAATTATGTTTTAGGGTGATTACAACTCAGAAATTCATCTGATCACAAGAGAAAGAGATGAACTTCAGCGTATGCTGGAAAGATTTGAAAAACATATGGAGGACATACAGTCCAATGTTAAATTATTGACAGCAGAAAGAGATAAACTAAGTGTCTTATATAATGAAGTAAGAAATTGATTAAGCCAACATTATATAGAACAAGTTAAATATAAGGGAACCAGTATAAATCTTTTAAATTACTGTAATATATGGACCTTGTTATATTCCTTCATAATTAGAGTTATCTAAGTATGGTAGTAGTTTCTGTTATTGTCCTGTTCCCAAAGCAGAGATTTCTATAATTTTTTCCATATTTATTCTTCTTCTCTTCCAGTTTATCTCTGTGTTAAGTCTGTTAGAAATAATCTCCTACTTCTAAAGCTACCTGAAACAGGTCTTAGCCTACTCTGAGCCAAGTTTATCCTTGGGATTCAGACATGTTAGGAGTCTATCAAACAGTGGGTAGCGCCCACGATTTGGAGATACTGGATATTAAGGACTTAGCCTGTAATTTGAGAATTGATACAGCTTGGCCCAGTTTCAAAGCCTCAGTTGTCAGAGAGCAAGGTGAATATAAACACAGCAGAGTGTCTAAATTTGTTCCATACCAATTTCCCATGAGGTTCTAATGCTACTTTGAGAGAGGGAGAAGGACATGTAAGTTAAAAGGTCAAGTTGAAAAAGCTGTTCTTACTTTTGGAGATTTTTCTTGGAATCTGCATTTGCAAATTGATTCATTTCTGGGCTTTCCCCACTATTGACTTGGATTTCAGCTTTCTCGAGTCTGCTTAGTTAATTACTCATTGTCCATCTGCTGTCTGGTTTCCAAAATTTTGTAGCTGGCGTTTCCCCTCAATCTCCTTGTCTTTTGGGATTTTGTTGTTGTTTTAATCCTTTTACTCATTTTGTTGGGATTTGGGAAGAGAGCAAAGGTAGTATGTGTTTAGTTTGCCTTTTTTTTTTTTAACCTTTGGAGCATATCCAAAGTGTTTTTTATTTATATCTTTTAATTCTTTAAGGCTCAGGAACAGTTATGTGCACTAAGACAAGAGTCTACCAAAACCACAGTCTCCCATAATATTGTGAGTCTTATGGAAAAAGAAAAAGAACTTGCATTATCTGACTTAAGAAGGATTATGTCAGAAAAAGAAGCTTTAAAAGAAAAGTTAAAAGTAAGTAATAAGATTGACTTATTTTTGAAAGGTAATTTATAGGGAAAAGGGAGGCCTTTATGTTTTCCTGTGAAGTGACTTATTTAGGATGTACAGCTAGATCAAGAGGTTGGCAAACAATGACACATGAACCAAATCTAGACCATTGTGTTTTTGTATGACCATGTGCTAAAAGTGGTTTTTACATTTTAAGTCATTGAAAAATAAAGGAGAGTATTTCATGACACATGAAAACTGTGAAATTCAGGTTGCATCTTCGGTCAGTGTTATTGGAATACCATGCTCATTTGTGGACCATAGTTTTCTGTGTGGCTTCTGTCGTGCTGCAGTGGCAGAATTGAGTATTTGCAGCAGAAAGTGGCCCACAAATCCTAAAATACTTATTACCTGGTTCTTTAGAGAAAATTACTGACCTCTGATCTCAATAGGAGGTTCCTTCGTCATGTGGAAGGACATTATCTTTTTTTTTTAAATGTAAAACAACTTGACTGAGTTATTCACATAACATTCAGTTCACCCATTTATAGTGTACAGTTCAGTGCTTTTTAATATATTCATAGACCTGTTCAGCCTACCACCACAGTCAATTTTAGAGCATTTTCATTACCTCGAAGAGACCCTGAAACCCCTTAGCAGCGGTTCTCCATTTCACCCTAGCCTCCTCAGGCCTAGGCAACCACGAAACTACTTTCTGTCTCTACAGATTTGCCTACTTTGAACATTTCATATAATTGAAACACTTAGTGTGTAGTTTTTTATCTCTTGGCTTCTCTCACTTTGCATAATGTTTTCAAGTTCATCCATGTAGTATGTATCAATACTTTATTCCTTTTTATTGTAGAATAATATTCCATTCTATGGATAGATAGAAAACATTTTAATTTTCATTTATGTGGTTTTTACTTTTTGACTGTTACGAAAAATGATCCTGTGAACATTCATGTACAACTTTTTGTTGATGTAGGTTTTCATTTATCTTGGGTATATACCTAGATTCATATGATAACCGTAGCCATTTGAGCAACTGCCAGGCTGTTTTCCAAATCAGCTGTACCATTTATATTCTCACCGGCAGTGTATAAGAGTTCTAGGTTCTCCACATCCTCACCAACACTTGTTATTATCTGTCTTCTTTGTTATCATCATGCTGGTGGGTATGAAGTAGTATCCACTGTGGTCTTGATTTGCATTTCCTTGATGGCTAATGACATCGGGCATCTATTCATGTGCTTATTTGGCCATTTGTGTATCTTTGGAGAAATGTCTCTTCAGATCCTTTGCCCATATTTACATTGGGTTATTGCCTCATTGTTACTGAACTGTAAGAGTATTTTATATATTCTTGATACAAGCTCCTTATCAGATACATGATTTACAAGTACTTGCCCCCATTCTGTGGGTTGCCTTTTCATTTTCTTAATGGAGTCCTTTAAAGCACAAGAGTTTTTAATTTTGATAAAGTCCAGTTTATGTATTTTTTTCTTTTGTCTCTTGTGCTTTTGGTGTGCTATTTAGCGGCAATACCTTATACTTTCTTTTATAATCTCCAAAAAAATGTGTGAATGTACATAAAGCACTTAATAGTGCCTGGAACATTATAAGAACTCAACATTAGCTCTTACTGTTACTATTTTGGATTCATAGTTTGCTTCCAATAAGTATTATTGAATTAATACTTAGAAATTAACAGCTCAAGTTAGGAATAAGAATATTTAAGCATTATAAGGGTAGTCTTTATGTCATACATTTTCAGTTGAAATTTTACCCCAGCGGAATATTTTTAATTGGGTTCTTTTGGAATACTGCCCTGCAGAATGTGCTTTCTTATAAAAATAAGTGTTAAAATTACCAAATGGAAAATTTCTGTGCAATATGGCAGCGTTTAGCACAAGCTTCTGATTTATTCTTTTCCATATTTGTTGAAAGGGCCAAGGACTGTAGAAACAGGATTTTAAAATGCAGTAGTACTGAAAGCTCAGAAAAAGTGAAATTCCTATTACCAGAATCTTTCTAGATTGTAGAAGGCAAGATTTATGAGTTTACAGTAGGTCTTTTACTTAAAAACTAAATTAATCATCTCAATCCTAAAGCCTCCTCTAGTAGTTTCCTGTTATTCAGCTATCTACCCTACCCAGTTGTCAAACCAGGCATCATCACTGCTCCTCTCTCCTGTAAAGCTCTTTTCTCTCAACTAATCACCAAGTCCTATGTGTGCTACCTCTTAAATAATATTTAACACTTACTGAGGTCTTTTCATGTGGGAGGCTCTGTTCTAAGTGCTTTTTACATGGGCTATCTCAGTAAATCTTCACAATTACCTTTTCAGATAGCTAAAGCTTACAGATGTGGTCTTTGAGTTACAGAGTTTAAATAATCTGCCCAAGATCACCTAACAGTGAAGTCAGATGGAGTCTGACTCCTGAGCTTACGTTAGTTTCTCTCAACTCTGTGTACTTTTTTCTGTTCCCCTGCTGCCATCCCATTCTGGCCATTATTTTCTCCCAACTGCATTAGTGTATCAGCAGCCTCTCAAATCTGTATTTTACACCAAAGGCAGAGTCTATCTTTCAGAGAGATAAATCTGATCAGATTTAAAATCTATCAACTGGGGACGCTTGGGTAGCTTAGTCGGTTAAGCGTCTGCCTTCAGCTCAGCTCATGATCCCAGCGTCCTGGGATCAAGTCCCACATCGGGCTCCCTGCTCAGCGGGAAGCCTGCTTCCCCCTCTCCCTCTGCCTGCTTCTCCCTCTCCCTCTGCCTGCCGCTCCCCCTGCTTGTGCTCTCTCTCTGTCTCACACAAATAAATCTTTAAATATATATATATATATATATGAACTGTTTTCAAAGACTTCAGTGATTGGCTTTTGCCTACTTCAGGGTCTAGCTTCTTTTCCCCAAACTCATCTCCCCCATTTCCCACATCTCATTTTCTCAACTCCAAGCTTAATGGACTTTTTCTTACCCCCAATTTTCTGCATAGGCTATTGAAAAATCTTTTACCCCTTACAGTACTTTCACCTGGCTAATTCCTATACATCCTTTAGAGCCAGGTTAAACATCGTTTCCTCACACAAGCAATGAACCCAAGACTCTAGATTCCCTTCAGTATGTTGCCATAAAGTTCATTTTTTCTAGCAGAATATTCATGGTTTTATTATGGTATCTTGTTTAAGGTTTGTCTTTTCTACTAGGCTTTAGTAACTGTGATGTCAGAGGCTTTATCCATTTTACTCACTATGTTTTCCTAACACCTTGCTGGGTGCTTGATATGTAGTATGTACTCAATACTGGTTGAATGATCTAATAAAAAATGCATATAGCACAGTGACCCTTCCAACCAGATATATAATTCAAGTGTCCAGGTGTCTTAATTGATTTGTTTTTAATGAGTAACATGGATAGAAGTATGAATCTGCACTAGAAAAATTCTCAGGGAATACCAGCTTATATCATTTGTCCTACACTTAGCATCAGCAAGAGTTGGATAAGGTAACCTAACCAAAGAAATAGTGCTTGTGTTTACACTGTTGGCCAGCCTATTCTTGAAATTCTCATCTCTTGCATGGCCCTGTAGTAGTCTTTCCTGTGTCTTTGTGACCTCATTTCTTCTTTGCCCTGTGCTCCTCTCACACTTCTCATGAGGGCGTACTCCTGATCAGACTTAACCTGCTGCTTTTTCCTTTTATACTTGTACTAATGGATTGACCTGTATAAATCTTTAAAAACAAATCCATGCCATTCTGTGTCTTCTATTACAATTGCACATGGAAGTTGTATATAAAGTATAAGAAACTCTTGTCCCTTTTTTTTTCAACCAAAAGCATCATTATCATAAAATGTCTAATGATTTTCTTTCTAAATCATTTCCATGTTATTAAAAAGACAAATAGAATAATCCTGTAGACTTGTGTTGCTTACTTTGCTAATTTTGTTTTGTTATCTGCTGTGAATAAACATCTTCCATAAAATTCTTTTTCAGGAACTCCAGGAAATGAGTATTTTTGAAAAATCAAAATTAGAGAAAACTATTGAACATTTGACATGTATTAACCATCAGGTAATATATCAAACTAGATTTGGGGTAAATTATGTTATATGAATTTCAATTATAGTTTCAATATGCTCTATGTTTTTAAAATTACAAAATAGTATGCTAGAGATGCTGGTTAGGAGTATATACTCTGAAGGTCGACTACGTGCGTTCACATCCTTCTCTGTCACCTATTACCTGTAGACAGGCTACTCAAACTTCCTATCCCTTGGTTTCTTTATTTGGAAAATGGAATGGTGGTAGTACTTCTAAAGTTTTTGTGACGATTAAACAAGTTAGTACATGTCAAGAACTTAGAAGAGTTGCTGGCATGTTGTAGGCACTCAGTAGGTGTTAGTTATGATTATTGTTGTTTTGTTCTTGTTAAAAAATCATAATACAGACATAGTGGAAAAAATGAAATTCATTTTCATTCCTTATTGCTCTCTCTAGAGATAGAATTTTTTAATCAAATTGTTATGTGTTCTGAATCCTTTTTTTTCCTTGGTGTTTCATTTTGACTAGTTTCCTTTACTATGTCTTCACTGCTTTTATTTACGTCTACATATGCTATCATCTGTTTCTATCAACTTTGAGTCAGTTGATTTTTTTTTTTTTCCTCCTCCTCATCGGTTATATTTTCCTGATTCTCTGCATGCCTGGTAATTTTAGATGTCAGACATTGTGAGTTTTATCTTCTTGGTTGCTGGATGGCTTTTATCCCTATAAATACTCTTGAGGTTTGTTCTGGGATACAGTTAAGTCAGATGGAAGTAGCTTGAGCCCTTTCAGTTTTGCTTTTAAGCTTCATTAGGTGGGACCAGAGTAGCATTTAGTCCTGGACTAATTTTGTTTCATTACTGGGACAAAACTGTTTTGAGTATGCTATCTATTGCCCTATGAATTATGAGGTTTTCAAATGACTGATGGGAACAGGAGTTACTCCTGGCCTACATGAGCCCTGAGTATTATTCCCTTTAACTTTTTGATGGTTCTTTCTCTGGCCTTGGGTAATTTCCTCTGTGCTGAGCTCTGCTCAGCTGAACACTCAAGGGGCACCTTTTATAGATCTCTGGAGCTCTGTCTGTGTAGCTCTCCTCCAGTGTCTGCTCTGCAAACCCTAACTGCCTTGGCCTCCCTTGACTTTCAGTCGTGTCTTCTGAACTTAGGGGAACCACCAGGCTTCACCTGAGTTCCTTTCCCTGTGCCACAGCCTAGAAATTCTTGAAGCAGTAAGCTGGAGCTGTCATAGGGCTCACCTCATTTATTTCTTGTCCCTTAGGGGTCACTGTCCATCACTACCTGATGCTCAGTGTCTTGAAAACCATTGTTTTATGTATCTTGTCCAATTTTTAATTATTTCAGGTAGAACGGTCCAGCTTGCCCAGAAGCTGAAAGTGAGAATTAATGAATTGAAAAATATAAAAAATATATCTAAAGTACTAGAAGTCATTGGAAGGAGACTAGGATATGGAAAATGTAAAATAAGTTAAAGCCTTAGAGAATAAAGTGAGAAAGTCTAACATATATTTGTCAAAATTCTAGGAGAATGTAATAGAATGTGTGAGAGAGGCAGTATTTGAAAAGATAATGACTGATGATTTTCTAGGTCTTATAAAAACACAGGAGTTCTCAGATTCAAAATGCACAATGAATGCTGGAAGTTTAACAGATCCCAAAGAAGAGAAAAAAAAAGAAAAATCCAAACCATTTACTAGAGATAAGCAATGTAAGATACTTATGTATGAATTTGCTGGATCTTAATAGAAAATATAATACAACCTTATTGAAAGACATTAAAGAAGACCCAAATAAGTGAAGAGATATATCAGGTTTATAAAAAAAGTGACAGACATGTTTATAAAAAGAATATAAATTCTCCCCAAATTGATCTGTAGAATTGATGTAGTTCCAGTTTGAAATTCCAAGATGGTGTGTGTGTGTGTGTGTGTGTGTGTGTGTGTGTGTGTAAATTAACAATGGATTTTATTTATTTTATTCATTTATTTTTTTTAAGATTTTATATATTTATTTGACAGAGAGAGACAGCGAGAGAGGGAATACAAGCAGGGGGTGCGGGAGAGGGAGAAGCAGGCTTCCTGCTGAGCAGGGAGCCTGTTGCGGGCTCTGGGATCCCAGGACCCTGGGATCATGACCTGAGCTGAAGGAGACTCGTAACGACTAAACCACCCAGGTGCCCCTAACAATGGATTTAAATTTTACATGGAAACAGAGCTAAGAATCACAAAGAAATTTTAAAGAAGAACATGGTGTGGAACTTAGCCTACCAAGTATGAAAGCTTTGGAGTTAGTAATTAATATAGAGGGCTAGTTCACAAGGATTAAAGGAAAATGATAAAATCCAGTAGAGCGCAAACCCACAAAACCACAAATATATGGAAACTTGATCTATCAAGGACTCAGATCAATGGGAAAAGAAAGGATTATTCAATAATTATTTCTGGGAAAATTGGCTATTCATGTGTATGTATGTGTGTGTATATATATACACGCACACATATATATATGTATATGTCTATATTAAGAAGGAATTACATCCTACTTCAAATATACCATACCCCAAAATAGTTGCAACCTTGAATGTTCAAGAAATAGCTACAATTTTTTAAAGAAAATACAGGAGATGGGGCACCTGGGTGGCTCAGTGGTTAAAGGTCCGCTCTTGATCTCAGCTCAAGTCTTGATCTCAGGTCATGTTTTCACACCCCATATTGAGCTCCATGTCCAGGAGAAAATCTTTGTGACCTTGGAGAAATAATAATAGCAATTCATATAGCATTTACTTTGTGTCAGGCACTTTCTCAACATTTTATATAATTTTAATTCTGATAACAATCATATGAAGTAAAGGCTAATATTATCCTTATTTCACACATAAAGAAACTGAGGGCGGGGGTGGGGGGGACAGTTTGCCTAACATCACACAGCTAGCAAGTGTCTGTTGCCAGAATGTAAGCTCCTAAACACAAATGAAAGAAAACAGATAAATAGGACTATATTGACAAGAACTTCTTTGTTCATCAAATAGTCATAGCTTGAAAAAACAGACCACTAACAGAGGATTTGCTATACATTTAACCTAAAAAAAAACTTACAGAAGATATGAATTGACACTTCATGGCAGAAGAAATTAAAAATGGCTAATAAACATAAAAAGGTGTTCTACATCAATAATAGAGGAAATACAAATTAAAACCATAGTAAAAACATTTCATATCCATCAGGGCATCAGAAATTAAAAAGTTAGGGGCTCCTGGCTGGCTCAGTCAGTAGATCATGTGACTCTTGATCTCAGGGTTGTAGGTTCAACCCCATGTTGGGTGTACAGATTACTTTTTAAAAAATTTTTAAAAAAAGAAATTAACAAGTTATAACACACAAATTTAGCAAATACATGTAGGGTCAGGGAATGCAAACTGGTACCTCTTTGGAGGATAATTTGGCATTGCCTAGCAAAGACATATTCTGTGAGCCAGCAAATCCATTTCTAGGTAAGAACCCTGGTTGGAAGTCAGCAAACTGTGGCCCCCAGACCAAATCTGGCCTCTTGTTTGTCTTTGTAGTAAAATTTTTATTGGAACACAACCATGTTCATTTGTTACACATTGCCCGTGGCTGTTTTTATGTTACAACGGAGTGGTGGCAGCAGACCACAGGGCTCATAAAGCCTAAAATATTTAACTCTGGTAGAAAACAAGAAACAATCTTGATGTCAGTTATGAGGAAAATAGAGAAATAGTGGTAATAATTCATACAGTGAAGTATTACAGAGCAGTGAAAATGAGTGTGCAGTAGCTGCAAACATTAGTGTACTTGAATCTTATAAATACAGTGTCAAAGAACATGCAGTATGATTCTACTTGTGTAGAGTTCAAAAATATACAGACCTAAACTGTATATTATTTAGGGATTCATACGGATATGGTACACTAACAAAAAAGTAAGAAATGAGAAACACGAGACTCATGATAATGGTTATTGTGGCAGGGTTTGGGGGATGTGATTGGTGATTGGAGACTGCTCACCAGTAGTTTCAAGGTTCAGGTAATAGGTAATATTTTTAAGCCAGGTAACTTTTGTTGTTGTTGTTCTTTATACTATACATATATTCTTGTTTGTACAAGGTATACCCAAGGAATTTTGGAAGATTTTTAATGCAATAAACACCCAGTTTCATTTCCCACCTCTTTATCCCCAAAACTACTACCCACAATTCTAATTCCTCCCTGTTTCTAAATAATTTGCTTCTAACTGCTTAGTCTTACTTGCCTTACTTTATCGATTCAAGACTATTTGAGTATCTGTGATGTTAGATGATGACTTGGCACTCTTTCCTTTTTCTTCCTCCATTACTTCATAGTTTTATTACATATTATACTTACTTTAGTAGTAACTGTTTATATTATTATGACTTCTAGTGGCCCATGGGTCAGCCAAATGAGATAGTACTACTCTTGCCTTTTCTCTTACAGATCTTTTTCCTGGAATTAATAATTGCTTTTGTTTTGTTTCATTTTATTTTTTCTTTTCTGTTTTCATTAAACCCGTTGCTAATTTTTGTCAAGACCTCCAGTATCTCTAGCACATGCTCAAACCTATCAGTTCTGTTGTTTTCCACTGAAGACTTCCCTTCTTGAGCTTTCCAGCATCTTGCTCCATTGTGGACTATGTCCTCCTCTTAAGAATTTCTCTCTGCCCCTCTCCTGTATTGAATCTCGTGTTTTCTTTCCTTCATTCTGGTATAGCACCTTCTCCAGTGGTTTCCTGGAAAAAAGTACATGGGAGGAGATTTTTTTGGTACACTACGTGTCTGAAAATGTCTTTATTCAGATTTCATAATTGATTTATGATTTGGCTTGGTATATGGGAATCTAGATTAGAAAATTATTTTCCCTAAAAATTTTGAATACTGTCTTCCATTGTCTCTTAACTTTCTTTGAGAAGTCTGATGCTATTCTATATCCTAGTCCTTTGTACATGTTTTTATTTCTGAAAACTTTTAGAATTTCCTCCTTCTTATTTTCAATTTCTTGGGTAATTTACTGTACTATTTTCTCTCTCTGGAACTCTTTTTTTTTTTAAGTAAGCTCTACACTCAGCATGGGGCTTGAATTAATGACCCCGAGATCAAGAGTCACATGCTCTACCTACTGAGCCAGCCAGGCACCCTTCTGGAACTTTTATTAGTTGGTTTTGGACCTCCTAAAGAGATCTGAGGTTCTTATCCTTTTTCCCTTATTTTCTCTTTGATTTTTTGTTCTTTCTGGGAGATTTCCATAACTTTATCTTCTAACTCTTCTATTGATTTATTTTAAAATTTATATTTTTGGTTTCCAGGAGAATTTTCTAGAAAGAGATAGCTCTCTGGGGTGTGATGCTCCCAGTATAGATTTTCAGCCAGTCTTCTTGTTCTGTTCTTGACCCCAGCCGACCACCTGGTGCCTTCATGTGTTGAGTTTCTTCAAGGCAGATCAGCTAATTGCTAACTGTGGTCACTTTAGATCAGTGTTCTTCAACTGGGGTCAGTTTTGCCTCCTAGGAGATATTTGGCAATACCTGGAGAATGCGGTTGACACTAGAGGAAAAAGTGCTTTTCATTCCTAGAAATTCTACTAGAGGGTCTTGCCTACTCCAGAGACTGGGATGCTGCTAAACATCCTACAGTGCACAATGCACAGGTCAGCCCCCCACAGCAAAGGATTATCTGGTCCCAAATATCAGTAGTTCCTAGGTTCAGAAGCTTTGCTTTAGATTGTATCCTTCCACTCTGCATCACTATTCTATCTACTCTTTGTCTTCCACAAGTTATTGACATCATTTATCCACTGTTGTTTTCTTTCTTGTTCTCTATGTCCTTATGAGTGTATAACTTTCTATTCCTTTACTGTCATTTCAAGAGGGAGGGAAGATCAAATGTGTATAGTCAGTCTACAGTTTTAACTGGAAGACTTCTATTTAACACAAATATTTCTTTTTTTTTTTTTTTAAAGATTGATTTATTTATTTATTTGACAGAGAGACACAGCAAGAGAGGGAGCACAAGCAGAGGGGGTGGAAGAGGGAGAAGCAGGCCTCCCGCCGAGCAGGGAGCCCGATGCGGGGCATTGATCCCAGGACTATGGGATCATGACCTGAGCTGAAGGCAGGCACTTAACGACTGAGCCATCCAGGCACCCCACAAATATTTCTTGATTTTGAGTTGTACATACAGATCATTATTCCATTTAGATTTTATTTTTGTATATAAAATAAAATAGAAATCTGGTTTTTTTCTTCAATGAGTGGCTGTCCCAACTCTGTTTTTAAAGAGCTTTTTCTTTTCCCACATCCCTTAAAATTCCACCTTTTCTGAATTTACATCTGTGTAAATTTGCTCATTCATGTGAAATCCACACTGTTTAATAGTAGCTTGTAATTTATTCTAATATTTCATAAATCCCCCACAATTTTTCCTGTTTTCTTAACTTTTTTTCCTAAATGAACTTTAGAATGAATTCTGAGCCACCTTCCTTATTTAAAAAAGGTTCTGTTAGGATTCTTACTGAAATTTCATTGAATTTATGATTATTTCAGGAACTTTTAATACATTTCCAATATTGTGTTTCCATTCAGAAACGTGTTATGTCTTTACATTAAATCAGGTTGTGTTTTATGTCTTTCAGGAAAATTTTTGTTTCTTCATCTAAATCTTACCCATTTTTTGTTTGGGTTAACAGTATTTTCTGCTCTGATTTTTCTTTTAGTCCTATGTACTTACTGTTTTTTAGAAATTCTTCACAATGTTTGCTCTGTTGACTAATTGTTTCCCTTCCTTTTTTCACTGCTGTTGTGGATATATTCTTTTCTTCCTTTCTTGTTTTTTTTTTATTTTGTATCCTTTATTTTCATTTCACTGATACTGATAAGGAGGAATAAATGTGTATGCCCATTCTGACATCTAGAACCTAAACTGTACATATGACTTTTGAAGTATTGTTAAATAAATATAATTTATTTCTTTAGTTTTTCTCTAGAAATATTAAAGAGTGCTGAAGGAAGACAAAACTGAGACATCTATTAATTTTTTTAATTTAAATTATAGCTTGAAGATGAAAAATGTGATTTAAAGTCTAAAGTGTTAATAATGAAAGAAACAGTAGAGTCATTAGAGAACAAAGCAAAACTCCAAGCTCAAAAACTTAGCCATGTGGCTGGTGACTCATCTCATCGGAAGACAGAGATGAACTCGCTTAGGTAAGTTTATTGAAAGTTTTGTTATTTCACTTCTGGGAACAAATTAGTTGCTATGTAAGGTTCTTAGTGATGGCATTTTGGATTAGGCCTTTAAGCAGTGAAAGTTGGCCTTGCAGCAGAATCACCTGTGGAGATTTTGAAAAGTATGAATTTAAGGGCAAGTCTCTGGAGGTTCTTATTCACTGAGCAAACCTGGGTAGGTGTTGAGTATCTATATTTTTAAAGACTCTCACAGATATGATTGCAGAAAAGTTTTTATACCTACTTCCTTCAGAAATTCCCCTTAGATACTTAGGATTATTTGTACTCCCTACTGTAGGATTGCTGAAAATTACAGAATTCTTTGCTTGTCATTGTCCTTTCTCTTTTTTTTTTTTTAAGAGAAGTAAGCCTTTATTTCCTTGTTTCACAAATAAACTTGGCTGAATTGGTTGCTTTTTGGTGATTAGTCAAAGAGACCAAATCCCATATCCTCGTCCAACTCCTCTGACTCCTCCTTTGCTTCAACCTTGCCTGGGGCCATGGCGGCAACAGGTGCAGAAGTGGGGGCAGCAGCCACAGGGGCAGCAGCCACAAACGCAGATGGATCAGCCAAGAAGGCCTTGACCTTTTCAGCAAGTGGGAAGGTGTAATCAGTCTCCGCAGACAAAGCCAGGACCCCTTGTATCCACTGATGATAGAATGGGGCACTGATGCAAGAGTCGGGTAACCTGTCTGCAGACATATGCTGGCAACACTGCGGACACCCTCCAGGAAGCAAGAATGCAGAGTCTCCTCTGTGATGTCAAGCACTTCAGGGTTGTAGATGCTGCCATTGTCAAACACCTGCTGGATGATCAGCCCAAAAGAGAAGGGGGAGATGTTCAGCATGTTCAGCAGTGTGGCTTCGCTGGCTCCCACTTTGTCTCTGGTCTTAATCAACTGCACATCACTCAAGATTTCAGTGGTGCCTCTGGAGATTTTAGTGGTGATGCCTAAAGCCTGGAAGAAGGAGGTCTTCTCGGGCCCCAGACCAGCGTTCTGGGCTGGCACAGTGACTTCACAGGGGGCTATGGCACCAGCACGGGTGGCAGCTGGCACCTTATTGGCCAGCAGCATGTCCCTGATCTCATTGAGGTCCTCCTTTGTGAACACAAAGCCCACATTCCCCCGGATAGGAGGCAACAGTTTCTCCAGAGCTGGGTTGTTCTCCAGATGCCCTCGGATGGCCTTGCACATCATGGTGTTCTTGCCCATCAGCACGACAGCCTTCCCGCGGAGGGACATGCGGATCTGCTGTATCTGCTATGAACCCACACTGTCTGCTCCCACAGTGAAGCATTTCAGATAATCATCCAAAAGTTGGATGATGTTAAGGAAGTAGTTGGAATTCCAGGTCGCCCTGTCTTCCCTGGGCATCACGGCGGTGCGTCAGGGATTGCCACAATGTCACTCTCACGAGGACGCCTGGAGAGTAGAGGGCTGTCCTTTCTCTTTTAAAAAATGTAAAATCAGAATATGCATATACAGAGTCTAAAAAGCTGAGGTGTCTGAAAGGTAAAACAGTCAGTATGGAAAAATAGGCTGTATCTATAGGTTAGAGTCAGGTTATGAAGAATATGGTATGATAACCAAGAGTGTCTGGATTTTACCTTATAAATATGGAGAACAAATTTTTAACCAAAGAGGTAATGTTATTAACATGCCTTTTAGGATGAACTCTGGCAGAAATTGGGAAGATGGATTTGGAGTGTTAAGAGACTGATGGCAAACGATGGAGAACATGTGTCTGGACTAGAAACAGGGACAATGAACTTGAACAGAGGCTAGATTTAGGAAACATTTCTTCATAAAATCGAAAGGATTGGATGGTTTATATGAGAATGAAAGAAAGATACAGAATGCAGAAAGTGTTTGCCTTAGGAGTCGGGGTTGTTGGTTAGCCATTAGTAAATTTAAAATACAGAACATTGAAGGAAACAAAAATTCAACAGTTTTTCTCTGGACTGTGTAGCTGCAATAAGTAAAAAGACTTATGATCAAAAGAAGGAGATCACTGAAGAATCAGAAGAGATATTCCTCTCTAAATTACATTTGCAGTAAAGATCAGGAAAAGATTTTCAGATGCCAACATGACCTTGCATATGTGAAACTAAATCAGTCATGAAATAATAACAACTTGAGATCAGAAAGGATTGTAGTAGTGATGATTAGAAAGAAGATTGGGAAAAAAAATAGAAAGATTGACAGGAGCACCTGGGTGGCTCAGTCAGCTAAGCATCTGCCTTCAGCTCAGGTCATGATCCATGGCTCCCAGGACTGAGTCCTGTGTGGGCTCCCTGTTGAACAGGGAGCCCGCTTCTCCCTCTCCCTTTGCTCCCTCCCTTGTTCGTGCTCTCTTGTGCTTGCGTGCGCGGAAGTGCTTTCTCTCTCTCTCTCAAATAGATAGAATCTTTAAAAAAAAAAAAAAAGAAGATTGATAAATTAGAACTGAAAGTGTAAATGAACAGTAGAATGGATATTTCTGAAAACTGAGTTAGTGAAATGGAAAAACAAACTCAGGAAATTCATCTAGAATTCAGAACCAGGAAGAATAAAAAGAAATGAGAGAAAAGACACAGATCTAATATACAAATACTGAGAATTGCAAAATATATAGTAAAATAAACAGTAGGATTGAAAATCCGAGGAATAATTAGGAAAAAAAAGGCCTGAATTTGTTCATAAGGGGGTCTGTGATTATCAAACAAATTTAATGAAATAAGATCAAGAGCTCATTGTGTCTGATTAATTAAGGAATACTATTTTAGGGACTCATGTAGGGTATCTCTAATTTTTGCCCTTTTGCTGCTCTGACTACAAGTCTTGATAATTTAGACTTTAGGAAGAACTAAAGTGAAAGCTGCATTTTTACTTTTTTCTTTTTGTGAGAGCTACATACATCCTCTGGAAAGCTAGCTGAATGAACCAGCCTCTCTTCTTCTGGTTCATGCCTATCCTCAACTCCAAAGTATAGATACTGTGGTATATTTCTGTCACCCAGAATTACTAGTCTACCTGTTTCCCTGTTGTGTTGAGCTGGCTGGATCTGCATTTAATCCATTTTGCTTTCTCCTTCAGACTGTAGCCGCAACTCTCCTTTCCTTTCCTCACAGAAGGCCCTTCTCAGTCTTACAAGGCAGAGCTTTCAGTGCCCTCTCTTGGATCCCCTAGCCTACAGTTCCTTTCACATTTTCTGTTATAATAATGTCCTTTTCTCTTGTGAGCTCAATGTGCTACTTCCCTCATAGACACTGTGTTATAGGAAGGGATTGTGAAGACTTTACTGTCTATCTTGTACCACCTGGGGAAATTGCATGGTTCCATAACTTTATTTTGCTCTGACAGAAAAAACTGACTTATCTCTGAGAAAAGTTTGTCAGTCACATTCTCCGTATCATTCTTCTAGTAGAACCATGAGCTCTAGCTTCAGGTCCAATCCAAATTGTAAACCGAATACAAACCATGATGGCAAGCACTCTGTGGAAGCAAAGCCACATTACCCAAACCTCATGCCACTTTCAATACCATTAGTAGAGATCTTTCTGCTCCTTTAATCACATAAAGTTATCTTACCTTGACATGGAGACATTTAAGAAGCTGATACTCAGGGGTGCTTGGGTGGCTCAGTTGGTAAAGCGTTTGCCTTCAGCTCAGGTCATGATCTCGGGTCCTGGGATCAAGTCCCACATGGGGCTCTTCCCAGCTCAGTGGAGAGCCTACTTCTCCCTTTCCCCCTGCTTGTGTACTTTCTCTCTCTGTATCAAATAAATAAATAAAATATTTAAAAAAAAAAAAGAAGCAGCAGCTGATACTCAGATAGATGAAGCATATGTTCCTTTTCATCCACCTGGTGACCCATTTTCTTTTCCCTGTCCTGGGTCAGGCATCTTTAAACAAATTTCAGTGCCACCAAACAGTCTTTTCTGTATCAGGCACAGTTTCTAATTGTTCAAATATAGCATCTGAGGATGTAATACAAAATCCCACTTTAAGACTGCCATTAACGTTAAACAAATGATTCTTGTCTTCTTTGAATTTTAGCATTTAATGAGACCTGGCATTTAATGCCCCAATTCAAAACTCCATAGTGCTATAAAGCAACTTTATTCTACCCAGGGAAGATGGTCTTAGTCCCTCAGAGCATGTTAGCCATCCTTGGGAGCTAGGGTCAGTAAACTTTTTCTGTAAAGGAACAGAGAGTCAATGTTTCAGACTATATGCACCACCCAGTCCCTGCCTCATCTACTCAATCCCGCCTTTGTAGCACAAAAGCAACCACAGGCAATATATAACTGGAGGAGTGTGGCTATGGTCAGTACGACTTTATGGGCACTGAAATTTGAACTTCATATAATTTTCATATGTCACAAAATATCAGTCTTCTGTTGAAATTTTTGTCAATCATGTAAACATGTAAAAATCATTCTTACCTCTTGGGCCTTACAGAAACAGGTAGCAGGCTGTAGTTTTGCCAACCCCTGCTTGGGGATAGTTTCCCGCCCAATTAGACAACTGACTTTTCTCAATCAACCCCATAGTAAAAAGCCTTAGTTCCTACAACTGCTAGCAATGAGACTCTAAACGTTTAGATTCTTACAGCTGAAAATACCCTCGGACTGTTTTCAGTTTACCTTAGTCTTTAGTTATCTCTGTACCTTTTTCAAAACTAGAAGGTTATATACTTATCCAGTATCAAATAAATGCATTAGCAGATTTTCCTGGAAAGGGCCCAGAAAACTCTGGTTGAAGTTAATATTACGGCAATGGGTATCAGTTGTTACAGGAGAATTTAGGTATATTCAGACAACCAAATATAACTGGTCTCCCTTGAGTTTTTATTTGTTAAAGGAACTGAGAACCATTTTAGATATGGGAAGGAAGGTTCACAGACTCCTTTGAATGCCTACGAAGTGTCTTCTGGGCATGCTAACATTTTTTTCTACAAAGACAGGAAGAGGAGCCAGAGCCCCAAGTGAGGA